TGACTGAGCCTTGGAGCAGTGGGAAGGAGACAAGAGAGGCTGTGTGTGCAAGAACCCTTCTGTGAGTCTTTTCGGGATGCACGTAGGAAAAGAGCTGACCGACGTAAGGCACAATGGAGGACTCCTAGGAGGTGATTGCACTCAGATGTGCCTCGTTAGAGGCTTCCCTGATGGATAAAAGGACTGGTGGTGCCACGCCCTGGTTGCAGAAGTCAACGTTCCTTGATCCTTGATCGTGGTTTCTTTGATGTACACTTGGAAAAGTGATTTGACTTCTGTAATCCTGATTCGTAGAGACTTTGGAATAAGTGCTTTGTTTCCATTTGGTTCACCTTGTGTTGCCGTAAGAAAGATTTGTTTTTCAGTTTGTTATCTTCTGGTAGAGACTTTAATTAGTTTATTTTGGCTCGCGGCCACTTTGAACTGAGAACTGATAAAGAGAGTTCCCTTTCATTTTGTTTGCCTGTCATCTGTTAACAAGCGAAGGAGGGGGAACAGAACACTATTTATCTATCTAATCAGACTTTTTTTTAATGAAAAGCAGAAAGCACTTAAAACCATTTTCCATATCACTGTGTCAAAGAGGAAGCACAAGAGTTAGCAAAGTGAAAAATGCTACAATATCATTCCTCAACCTGATGTTTTACAGCTGTTTATGGCTATAATTCTAGAATTCCATGCTGAATGAGTATTCTGTAGTCATATACAAGTCTTTTAAAAAATGCTACAAAAGCTATTAAAAAGAATTTATTTTTAGAATCTAGAATCAAGATGCAGACAAGGTGAGATGAAGGTTTTTTCTACCCTTATGCCCTTAGAAAGATGGAACAGCATTGAAAGAGATTATGTTAATACTAAAATATTAAAATCTACAAAAATGGTAGAACACTTTCAAATAGAATATTATCATCAAAATCTTAAGTGTAACTTAAAGGGAAAAGCCCCCCTTGCACATATATGCTAGTCGTTCCCAACTCTAAGGGGCAGTGCTCATCTGTTTCAAAGCCAAAGAGCCAGCGCTGTCCAAAGATGTCTCCGTGGTCATGTGTCCGGCATGAATAAATGGCGAAGGCACATGGAACACTGTTACCTTCCCACCAAAGGTGGTCCATATTTTTCTACTTGCATTTTTTACGTGCTTTTGAACCGTTAGGTTGGTAGAAGCTCACTCCATTACGCGGCACTAGGGATTCGAACCGCCGAACTGCTGACCTTCTGATCTACAAGCTCGGCGTCTTAGCCACTGAGCTTAGGGTAAAGTAAAGGTTTCCCTTGTACATATGTGCTAGTCGTTCCCGAATCTTGGGGGCAGTGCTCATCTCTGTTTCAAAGCCGAAGAGCCAGCGCTGTTTGAAGACATCTCTGCAGTCATGTGGCCACTGAGCCTAGCGATTATTAAAACCAATGCTTCTTCATGCGGGCCCTTGTGATATTATCTGGTATTTAGAGACCTCTAATGCTTCAGATCTAAGTCTGTAAAATTGTTTCTGAACAAGTGTGAGTGAGCACACCACATCTATGAGAATAAGGCACATGTACATAATACACTGTCTTATGTACATACAGGGTGTATATATACACACCCGTCCCAAAGCAGCTTTTCAAACCACTGCAGACCAATGTCACTATTAATGCAGAGGGGTGGGGTATATTTTTTAAGGCTAAGCATTATGGATGTTGCCCTTTTAAGAAAACCTAGTCAATGAGTCATTTATGATTCCACTGATTAAATTTTCCCATTGAATACGAAAGCATCATATTGGATTTTACATGACATATAACTATCAGAACAAGTATAATCGAAGCAAAATTATTCCTCCTTGAGAAAGCAATCATCTCTTCTAGTCTCTTCTAAAAAAGCACTTAACATTCATACATTTATTGAGTTTTGACAGTAAAAATTAAGTCTGCTTTTTTCACTTATGATGCCCAATTTGAGAGAGAACGGAAGAGAAAGGATATCTTTTTAATCTATTAAAAACTTGTTTTAAAATCACTCAACGAAATGCTGATATTGCTAACATGACAGGCTAAGGTCTTCAATGGTCATCCAGAAAGTAGCTCATTTAGCAGCGTGTTAAACAGGAATACACGATCTACTCACAAATTTAATCTTTGTACTCAATCAAGTATTCTGGATAAATCTGGTGCTTCTCAAAAATGACAAAAATGGATGGATTCAGGAGAGTGTTCACACAGCTGTTATAGAAAAGACTGCTGTCGTTATTTTTGGCAGGGGGGCGGAGATAGGAAGAATTGCCCATTGTAAAATCTCCCACCAATACTTTGGCGAGAAACATGGTCTTGCTAGAAGAATTGACTCCACAGTAGTTATCAGAATATGCAGCATCCCTTGCAAAGTAACTTCCTATAAAGAAGAAAGACATAAGGAAAAAGAGGCCACACTATAAGTTCAACAAAATTGTAGCGTATTTAGTGGTTTTAATGCCAAACAGGGATTGGGAAGACCAACATTCAAATCCATACTGGTCAAATCCATACATCCACACTCACTACATCTCAGCCCCATCCACTTTGGTGAGGATAAAACTAGAGATGATTATGATGTGGCCAGCCTAACCTTCTGGATACCAGGATATAAATGCAGCAAATGAATTAATATTAAAATTTGAAATCATGTATGGTCTTCAAACAGGGCCAATCTAGCCCCAGAACAGCTGGATCAGCATAACCCAAAGGAGGAACTGAACCTTCCATACTTTGAATGATGGTTTTGCACATTACTATATAGGGGTGGGCTTCAAAGTTTTTAGCAAGGGTGGGTGCCGGGGATGGGTGTAGCCTAGTTGCCCTCCTGCACCATGGTGGGGGGGGCTTTTTGCCCTCCCCGAGCTTGGGAGACTTTTTTCGAGCCTCCGGGAGGGTGAAAACGGCCTTGCCAGGCTCTGGAGGCACTCTGGAGGTTGGAAACAAGCCCATTTCTGGCCTTCCCAAAATTCCACTAGGCCTGTTTTTAGCTGTCCCCAAGTCTTCGTGCGCGCCCTGCATTTACCTGCAACCAAAACGGGCTGCGTGGGGACTCCTGGGAAGGATGGGATGGGCTTGGCCAGCCTGGAGTGGGATTTGGGGGTTCTCCAAACTGCACAGAATCTTAGCTAAAGGTTCTCCCGAACCCCTGCAAATCCCCAGCAGCTCACCCCTTACTAAATCTAGGCCAGGGGGGGGGGTGTTCCTGCTAAATACTTTACTACATCTCTTTAATCAGATGCTCTTCAGATACGTTAGATGTCAAGATCCATTATTTCCAGCCAATACAGTCATTGAAGACAGATGCTAGAACCCAATTCAACAACATCTGGATGCTCAGTGTTCCCCATCCACTTTTGCTAACATCTGAATTCAAAAAGATGGTACAGAAGTATAGGAAGTGTATCAACTTCAATTAAATTATTACGTTCAAAACACCGTAGAAGTTTACCTTTGCCATAAGCTGTACCATGAACACCACAGATCCTCCAATCAAAATTCTGCTGGCAGATGGCATCTACATGTTTTTTACTTGTTCCATGAAACAGGTGCCTTTCATCTACATCCTTTCCTCCATTTGCTTTCTTCATTTGTTCCTTCTGCCTGTAAACATGAAAAATAACCGACACAAATATGTTCATGGAAAAATAAAATGGGAACTGGCAAGGGGATACCTGATGCTAAGAATCCTACCCAGATATCTCTTAATCAGTATTTCTCAACCTCAGCACCTTTTAAGGGAGGTGCAAGGAAGACACCGAAATTCAGAATATACAGGTTTTTAAAAATGTTCTCAGTGATTATTGTTTCCATAAAATTCTGAAAACTGAAGTTGAATCAAATATTTTTATATGTTAACTTGGTTTCTTATTTGGGGTGTTTCCAAACCCAGGATTGCTTCCTTCACATCATACCTCCTTTATACATCATTTACAAAGAGAGGTTTTGGAAATATTTTCATTGTTCAGAAAAATATTTTTAAAATAAAAACTTCTTTTCGAATCTTCAATGTGTGTCCCGCAGAGCTCTTTTTATTTCTACTTGCAACATGTAAGTAGCTCCATGATTTGTGCACTTTAATCTAAGTCAGTGTTTTCCAGCTTAAGGTGTGTGAACTCCCTCACGTCTATCATCCAGATTCCAACTGGACTTCCTTGGGGTTTTTTCCCTTGACGATGTTTTGCTTGTTCATTCCAGAAGCTTCTTCAGTTCTTTTAACTCCCACAATTTTCTAGGTGTTAAAGTCCAGGCATCCGAACATTGCCAAGGTTGTGAAACACTGTTCTAAGGTAACATCCCCAAGTCTTCCTCAAACATGATAATGGATTCCTCATGTTACAATAACACCCGCCATCCTGGGCCCAAAGTTTGGGAAACTAGGCTCTGCTGTCACAAGCCAGGTCAAAAGGTGAGTGATGGAGGAGTAACACCCCCTTAAAAAAACCTTGGTCCAGCTGGCCCGGCTGGTAGCACCTCGTAAGGGCTCCTTTCCAGGGTTACAGGAGAAGACGGTCAATGGTTTTGAAGGTGGAAGAGGGTTTTGCGCCCCAACTGCAGATAAAGCGGCAAAACCATCTTCTAGAAGAAGGGAAATTCTGATTACAATCGTCCACTGCCTTGTGGCTATATCCACTATTGGAAAAGGCTTCAGGAGTCAACCTCGAGGCAAAATCCAGAGCTGGAATTCCGGAAGCAGTTTGTGATTGTGTACAACCACGTTCTTGTAACTCCTGTGACACACCTGGAAACAATTGTATTGGTTCTGCCGTTCCATTGGATTATTTCAGCAATGTGCAGAGGGGGGAATCTGCTGCTTGGGTAACAGTCTACCTCCATATTAATCTACCCAGGCCTCGTGCTCTGGAGAGGACACTCCAGCTTTAGCTCTTTCCAGAGCACGATACCATAGTCTTTTGAGACTGATGGATGCCAATGCATGTTACAGTTAGCAAATGGATTTTCACCCTGGTCCAATACGCAATATTTGCACTATGATAAAGGAAAGCTTTCACACTACCGGGGAAAAGATATGGCAAACAAAATGAACATTTTGCCACAAAAAAGGAACCCTATTTACATTCTAGGAACTGGAAATAACCACTGTACATGAAGACAGAAGCTTTCAACCAGATTATTAGCTATGTGACCATCAGAGAGCAATCCCCAAAGTTTAAGAAAGAATTAAATTCTCTGCTCCCTGGCAATACAACCAGGATCAACCCTCAGAATTTAAATAACCCTGAGAAATTCTTGCAAGGAAGTATTCTCTTTTAATCCAGCATTCTGCTGTGCAACAGGAACATGGAGCTTTTGAAAAAAAAATCAATTTCAGAGAAGCCAATGACAGCAGTAGAGCCAGTTTGCACATACCACTGATAAACTTCCCAGAGAGACGTATTCTGGATTCTTTTGATGGCCGATATTGTGACCCTGGGCAGTGTACGCTGAAAGTTAGTCTGGACTTTTACGTACTCGCTGGAGGATGGAAGGAGGCTGATCAGCTGCAAAGGGGAAAAAAGGATATAAATATGGGCCTCAAAAATAGGAGGAAAATTTAATATTGTGTCTGGGGAGATTCTCACTCATCCAGGTCATGGCTGTCCCAAAGGTGCTTTTTCAAGAGGCAACTGGACTTTCTGGATTTTCTTTGAAGACGTTTTGCTTCTCATCCAAGAAGCTTCTTCAGCTCTGACTGGATGGTGGGGAATGGAAGGATTTATACTCCTTGCAGAGAGTTAGTCATTTACATTTTTTAAAGAAAAGAATGCAAATGACCAGCTGTCTGTAAGGACTGTAAATCCTTCCATTCCCCACCATCCAGTCAGAGCTGAAGAGGCTTCTTGGATGAGAAGCAAAACGTCTTCAAAAGAAAAACCAGAAAGTCCAGTTGCCTCTTGAAAAGCATTTTTGGGATATTCAAAGTAAAGGATTAAGAAAACCTGAATAATGATGGGCTTTAAAACCAGGACCTGCCAAAGATGGAATGCCAGCATTTGTAGTCCATAGTAATAGCCTTTGGCTATTTGTTATGATGCCACTGTGCACAATACCTGACTTAAAACAAACAAACACACACACACACACACACACACACACACACAGAGTAAAATTCTGAG